ATACGACTCACGGAGAGACATTTCTTCTTATATTCCCCCCACGGGGAAGAAGGCAAGGCCGCACAGAAGATGTTTTGTTTACGGAAAAAAGAGCCAAATGAGAGATACGCAGTACTGGTTTGGTGAATGTGAGTCAGCGCTGTGTATAGTAGAATGCTTCAATGCGTGCAACACTCCGCTCAAATTCTGAACCACCACCGAGATACCGGGCGCTCATATTATAAGGCAAAGTTATAAAACAATCTTTTAAGATCATTTTAGTGAAAGTTTCATGCTTCAAGGCGTACGATACACTGCTCAAATTCTAAACGAACTGCTTCCATTGCCGAGATTCCGGGCGCTCATATTATAAAGCAAGGTTATAAAACCACCTTTTAAGATCATTTTAGTGAAAGTTTCATGTTCCTAGCTCATAGAATTTAAGAACAATGATGAATAAATCATTTTCGAGCAAAATTTAAATGGCCGGCTGAATATATTACCGCCGGAGAGACACGGCAGCGGAATTTAAATCACTGCGTGAAAGGGCTAATCATAACGCTTATAAAACATTGCAATTTCAACTATCCACCATGACCTCATTTTGCATGGAAGAAGCCAAAATTCATAGGCCACTGATAAATGATACCGATTCAGAATGCAGTACAGATGACTCTGAAAGTGGCGTGGAAGCAAGGGGGAAATGCAGGGCTATTCCGAGAACAGTACCTCTGTGTGGCTAGTCCAAGATATACACAGTCAGAGTTTCTGAAGGACAAAGTACGATAAGACTTCGCCCACACTCATGCATACAGAAAGGTTCCGATGTGACTGGAGAATGTGCAATACAAATATACACTTCCTCCCCTTTTGCCAGATAAGACATAGTAAGACAGGATGTCAGCAGCATGCATTTATACTGCAGAAACGTTTTGTGCAGAAACTGTATGCATATTTGTGAACAGATGCTCAAAATTGGGGAACATTTTTTTTTTGGAATCAGTGTAACAGTTTTTACAGACTTTAAAATCTGTAAATAACAATATCTGATTCTATATTCTTTCTAGATAAAAGCAGCGTTTATTTCGTTCG